ATGCTGTGCAACAGATCTCTAGAATGTTTTCATCTTGCAAAACTGAAACTCTATACCCACTGAACAGGAATTCCCATTCCCCTTCCCTACCCTTTGTACTTTCTGTTTCTATGACTTTGACTTTAGATACTTCATATGAGGGGGAGCATTCAGCATTCGTCCTTTTGCAGCTGACTTCTTTTGCTTAGCATAACATCTTCAAGGCTCATCCATGTTGTAGCCTGTGACAGGATTTCCTTCCTTTTAAAGGCTGCGTATTTAAAGGCTGTAGTATTCCATTGTATTTATATAGTACCACGTTTTCTTTATTCATTCGTCTGTCGATGGACATTTGGTTGCTTCCGGCTCCTGGCTACTGTAAATAACGCTGCTTTGAACATAGATGTATAAATATCTCTTAGAGATCCTGCTCTCAATTCTTTCAGATATGTACCTAGAAGTGGAATTGCTGTATATATGGTAGCTCTATTTTTAATTTTTTGAGGGACTACCATATTGTTCGCCGTAGCGGCTGCACCATTTTACATTCCCACCAGCAGTGCTCAAGTGTTCCGATTTCTCCACATCCTTGCCAACACTTACTGATAGTGGCCATCCTAATGCGTGTGAGATGATATCTCATTGTGGTTTTGATTTGCATTTCTCTTACTTAGAATGAATCCTGCAGAGGAAGAGGAAGTACCTCTTCAGGGAGAGCCAGACTCAAGGGCCAACATTTGGCCTTGAGTCCTAGTTGCAGCTTTGATGTTGGCTCATAATTCAACACAGCCTCATCATCATCTCATTTCTCTCAGCCAATCGACTCTAATACCCACCCTACCTCTTTTTTCTGTGTTACCACTGAGAAGCTTTGAGCTAATCTTTGAGGATAACAAAGCTAATAACTTCGTTCCAAAGAGCCAGTCTTGTATAAACACAAGGTACTATGAGCAACTTGTCAAGATCTCCCAAAGGTCCACAGAGCAGGGCAGGACCCTGAAATCACATCACAGTAAACATTACTAGCGGCTCACTCTACATCCTGTGATGACATCTATCTTCAGATATAATCCACACTGAACCAAGTACTTATCACTTCATCGGAACCATGAGTTTGACCATTTGTCTCCATTTTCTCCCCCTCCAATGGCTAGGAACAAATTCAGAGTTTTGAGTTTCAACTGTTTGATTCTTGCAGTCGCTAAGACAATAACAGATTAAATAGGATGAACCAAGCGGCCATACTTCATGTAACGTTATCCCCAGAGATAAATGTACAACGTTGTTTCGGAGGCTGTGGTGGTGTCTGCAGTGTAACTAAGGTTGACAGACTGCCTGCATGTGGGTGGCTGTCTCCTTTCCAGCTGTGACCAACTGAATTATATCACCTGTCCCGTTTGATGTATTAGGATATGCCCAAGCTCAAGATGCATGTTGCTGCAATAGGGAAATTAATGTCCACCACTGGAGGCAATTAATAATGATTAGAAGCAAAACGGCTGGGTTAAATCTGTGCGTTTAACAGAGTGTTCATACGCTTTTATACTATATTTCAGTCTAGTTGCTCAAAAGAAAAAAAATACCCTTTGGGGGGGACTAGAACAATCTTAATTAATGTGTAAACTTAGATGAAACGTCAAAGTCCCTTCAATGAGACATGTTTATTCATTATTTATTTAATCGTCCCTTCCCAGGGTTAGAGAAAAACACTGCACAAAAAGTAGCATCCTAAGGAGAGAAATGTTCGGATTCAGTTGAGTTGCTGGCAGAACTCCTGGGCTTTTTGAACTGCCACATACAACTCATGGACTGGGGTGAGAAATTCTCGCCTCTTTCATTTTACAATTCTGTAGTTAATATACTGAAAAAAACCCCAGCAACAAATTGGCACACCATAGATTGCAATGGTTGGTTTAGTGCAACTCCATAAAAATCTGCATGTAAAATACATAGCGGTGGTTAAATAATTTCCCTCTGGTTACCAACATCTAGATATAAATTTGAATATTAGAAATTTAAACTGAACAAGGGATTTTGCTCAAAAAATGCAGGAAACATTGAAAGCAAATTGGGTATAAATCTATAAGGTTGAAAAGCCTGAACAGTATTGATGTATGCAAGCACACACGCACCTCTGACTAGGCATTTATGTCACCATGTATTAGTGTAAAGCGTGCACAATACAAATATTCATTGATCAGATATTTTATTAGGAAATTTCATTAAACAGATTAAAATGTAATTGGCCATCAGCTGGACTTTATAGCTCCGAGAAGATTATATACTTCAGTGATAATGCAGTTCTCCTTAATTAAAAACTACGAGATAAAGGTCTTGGAAAACTTCAAAGCCCTATTTTACTATGATGGAATCTAAAAATAGAAACTCTGAAATGATCCCTTCACTGTGAACCTGCAATGACTGTGGTGACATTGAAATTCTCTTTGCAACTTGAACTCACGAGACAGTCCAAGGCTACCCATGGGCATGATGCCTCCTCGCATTTCTCCTTCACTGTGTCCTCAAGAGTGACTCAGGCTACACCATCTCAAAAGAGACTCAATTAAAATGAAAAATTCAGTCAAGAATCAGTCATTTGATGAACTTAACCCAGATATCCAGATATTTGGATTTACTGAAATAGTTAATTGACTTTTAATAGCAAACATACTCTTTTGGCATCATTTTTCATGTGGGTACTTAGCATCCTGTGACTGAACGTCTACACATTAATTTAGTTTTAAAAATCCATTCATTGAATCATTCATTTGTTCGCTAAATAGTCTTTAGGTCCTTACCACTGTTATTTATCCATTTGCCTCGAAATCTTGCCTTGCTGAGCACGGCTGAGTTAAGTTTCAGAGACAGGACAAGCCTGCTGTTTATCAATGGATCACATCACACTGATTACTTTCTTTTGATTATTTTTAGAATCTGCTCATTCAACGGGTATTTTCTGGGTACTAACTGTATTTAAACCTTGGTGATCAATCACAAAAATATAAAAAGCAAAACCATGAGGAGTCTGCTCTCAAATGTACCAACACTGACCAAGGGCTGACTTGGTCAGCCCTGGGGAGATGACTTCGGCCTGTCCAAGGTCACAGCGTGGTGATGGCAGAGTCAGGATTCCAACCTCTGCTTCTGTTTTCAGGGTCCCAAAGTATTACCTCTTAAGGAGCTGGCCGACCCAATAGCAGATCAAATAGTTATGTTCAGGCAGCTCCTCTCTCCACCAGTTTCTCAGTCAATAATTCCTGGAAAAATCACAGATTGATTGAGTCTGTTCCAGCTGTCAGACAATGCTGAAGCTTAAGGTGTAACTGCCCCACCTGTACCCTAGCCACAAGTAGAAGACAACACTTGACCTTCACAGTGGCCCTGGCCTCTCCCTTGGACACATGCTTTTGCTTCTCAGCTTCCACTGGATTCCTGACTTCCCAGTCATGGCCTCATTGGTGCTGGCAACAGGTTGGGCGATTTCTTATCAGCTTGGTGAACTTGAGCTGTTCTTCCCTCTCCCCTGGTTTTGGTATCCCCTGTAGGATGACAGTTATCACCCACCAGACCAGCCCTGGAGAACTCACCTGGTGTGGCAGCCCCATGCCCTCCTGCCCTTCCCTATCTTGACAAGGAGGAAGCATGAATAATCCAGGAAGAAAATGCACTGGTTTTTCATCTTGGAAGGCATTACAAGCTTCTGGGGACTTAATAAAAATACAGATACCTGAACCCTTCTCTAAGCCTCCTGAATCTACAGGAGTATGTTTTGGGAATCTAGAGGAGTGTGGTATGGGAACCCACTTCCCAGGGAATGCAGATGCACACCCAGACCTGAGAGCCACAGGTGTGATGAGAGGGTGCTGTCTACAAGCACACACCTTCGGACACTGGAACAGGAAACTTCATCAGCCTCAACTTTTTTTTCCTCAAGAGAAGGAAAAAAGGAAATAGCTAATTTGCTAATTATTTCAGAAGATTATTAATCTTTCAGGGTGTCACCACAGAGACTTTGAGCATGGGCAGAGTCATAGAAATGGTAGCCCTTTACTTATAGCAATTAGTATAAGAAAATTATATTTCAATTTAGCAGAATTCCTTATTTCTCTACTTATGAAAGAAAGAAAAAACTTACCCATTAGAGGACTGTTAGACCAGACCTAAATTTTTAAGCAGCTGTCCAGGAAGCTTAGGAAGCAAGATTTTATGAACTCAGTGTATCTATACTACTCATCTCTGAATCCAATTCAGCTCAATATTAGCAGGATATATAGCGAAACTATATAGCTTTTTTTTTTTTTTTTTTTTTTGAGGTACGCGGGCCTCTCACTGTTGTGGCCTCTCCCGTTGCGGAGCACAGGCTCCGGATGCACAGGCTCAGCGGCCATGGCTCACGGGCCCAGCCGCTCCGCGGCATGTGGGATCTTCCCGGACCGGGGCATGAACTCGTGTCCCCTGCATCAGCAAGCGGACTCTCAACCACTGCGCCACCAGGGAAGCCCTATATAGCTAATTTAAAAATTTTAAAATGTCAGTGATAAGATACACTTGGAACAGAATTTAGTAGGAAGCCAAGGGAACACATTTTAAAACTCTTAGTGGACATTTTGCTTGCCTATTTTCTGCTTTAGTCAAGAATGTTAGGCTTCAAACATTGCTGGAAAATTAAAGTTGTGCTTGGACCAGATTTGAGGAATGCAGGAAGGATGAATTGTGCAGATTCCTAACCTCATGGGCATCAGGCCCCTGATGCCATCTGGGAGCTATCTAACATGGGCAGTGACACTAGACAGGCCTGATGTTCCCCAGGGAGGATTCTGGGACCAGAGCTTTCTGTCTGGTCCATTGGCTTAGAGTGGAAAGCAGGCCATCGGCCCATGGAGATGGGCCAGCTGTGGCTTGACCTTCAAACTGTTGGCCATATTTACTGTTGAGGACTCATGGACCGATTTGTCAATGGTTACCTAATACCTGAGAGCAACTAGCCTTATGTGGGTGCCTCTGGCTCTTTCTATCTTTTGGTTCACAATAGGTAGCCTTGTCTCAGATGGTCCCAGATGGCAGCATCTGCATTCCAGGATTCAGGATAAAGGAAGGGTGAAGAAGAAGAAATGGCACATCCTGTACTTCCTCTTAAGGTAGGTTCTTGAAAGCTGTCAAACAACCCAACATTTTCATCTCGTTGGCCGGAAATGAGTCACATGGCCACACCTAGCTGCTGAGTTTTTACTCAGGAGATCAAGGCTCCAGCTAAAAATGGGAGAGAGGAAAAATCATGTCATAAGAGAGGGGAGAACAAACCTGAGGAACAACAGGCAGATGGTATCCAAAAGACAGCTAGTATAATAGCACCAGATAAAACAGACCTTAGGTAAAAGGCATTACTATAGATAATGAGTATTAGTACATATTTTTTATTTTAATTAATTTATTTATTTGTTTTTAGCCGCCTTGGGTCTTTGTTGCTGCGTGCAGCCTTTCTCTAGTTGCGGCGAGCGAGGGCTACTCTTCGTTGCGATGCGCGGGCCTGCAGTGGCTTCCCTTGTTGCGGAGCATAGGCTCTAGATGCACGGGCTTCAGTAACTGTGGCTCGCAGGCTCTAGAGCGCAGGCTCAGTAGTTGTGGTGCACAGGCTTAGTTGCTCCATGGCATGTGGGATCTTCCCGGACCAGGGCTCGAACCCACGTCCCCTGCATTGGCAGGCAGATTCTTAACCACTGCACCAGCAGGGAAGCCCCATATTTTTAAAAGTATTGAATTCACCAGGACCCTGTATGTACTCAGTAACAAATCATCAAAATACAAAAGACAAGAATTGATAGAAGATAAAAAGAAACTATCAAATCGATCATGATTGAGGGAGACATTCAGTGGTTGGTAAGTCAAGCAGAGAAAAAATATCAATTAGAATACAGAAGAATTGAACATCACAAGCTTAATCTAATGGATAAACTTAAAAACTATCCCTAATAATCAGAAAATAGAGATTCGTCTGAAGCACACAGAAAGCATATATGAAAGTTGACCACATTATAAACCAAAAGCAAGTATTGAAAACTTCCAAATAATTGGTATGAGTCAAGTCACAGTCACTGACTGCCATGAAATTAAGTTATAAATAAATGACAAAAAGATAATTTCTAAAAATCCATTTGTTTTGAACTTTTAAAGAATATAAAGTAACCCATGGTTACTCATGGTTCTTGATGGAAATGGGAAGATGCTTAAAATGACAAAAAATAAGGGAAATGTTATCAATTGAATTTGTGGAATGAAGAACTAGTATCTAGAATGTATGAAGAACTCTCAAAGCTCAACAGAAAAATATCAAATCAATTAGAACATGGGCAAATAACATGAAGAGGTATTTTACTAAAAAGGATATACAGATGGCAAATAAGCAAATGAAAAGATGGACAACAGCATTAGACTAGGAAAATGCAGATTAAAACCACAGTGAGGGGCTTCCCTGGTGGCGCAGTGGTTGAGAGTCCGCCTGCCGATGCAGGGGACACGGGTTCGTGCCCCGGTCTGGGAAGATCCCACATGCCGCGGAGCGGCTGGGCCCGTGAGCCATGGCCGCTGAGCCTGCGTGTCTGGAGCCTGTGCTCCGCAACGGGAGAGGCCACAACAGTAAGAGGCCCGCGTACCGCAAAAAAAAAAAACAAACAAAACAACCCACAGTGAGATATTGCTACAAGCCTATCAGAGTGGCTAAAATACAAAATAATGACAGTACCAAATGCTGTTGAGGATGCAGAGAAACTGGATGGCTCAGACATTGCTGGTGGGAGCATAAAATGTACAAGTACTCTGAAAAACAGTTCAGCAATTTCTTAAAAAAACTAAATATGCAACTACCATTTGACCCAACAATTGTGCTCCTGGGCTAAAACAGTTTATCCCAGAGAAATAAAAACTTATGCTCAGACAAAAACTTGTACACAAATGTTTATAGCAGCTTTACTTGTAATAGGTAAAAACAACAAAAACTCCAGGTCCATCAACCTTTCAAAACATAAATGGTTGTCCTCTTACACAAGCTCTTCTCAAGCATTAAAAAAAAAAGAAAAGAAAAGAAAAGAGAGAGAGAAGAAGGAAAGGAGGAAGGATGGGAAGGAGAGTGGGGAGAAGGAAATAGTAATTTATTGATGCTGGTGTAATCTTGATACCAAATCTAGGTGAAGGTGAATCATGATCTATAAATACTAAATAAAATAGAAGTAAACCCTATTGTGCAACAAAGAGATAAAGTAGGGTTTATGGGATGTGAGGGCGATCTGGCTGCGACATCTGTCACCCCATTGATCGCCAGGGTTGATTCGGCTGAGCTGGCAGCCTAGGCGGGTGTCCCCTTCCCTCCTCACAGCTCCATGTGCATCCGTCGCCAAGCTGTATGCTCCGTCGAAGAGGATGACCTTCCCCCACAGAGGAGGACTGTTCTTCCGTCAAGGGTATGTGAGTAGCTGCACTGCCCTGCTAGAACCTCCAAACAAGCTCTCAAGTAGGTTTTATGCCAGAAATGCACCATTGGTTCAATATTAGAAAAAAATTGTTACTTTAATTTACCACATTGAGAGATGAAAGGAGAAAAACCACAACATCATCTCAATAGGTACAGGATTCAGTAAAATTCTAAAGTCATTCATCATAAGGACCCTGGAAACATTGTTGCATGCTCCTAGTGGATATGAATGCTCAGAGGAGCAAAGACTGGAAACAATGCAGATGCCCCAAAACAATAGATTGGAAAAACACACTGGAGTATATTTGTACCAAGGAATACAGCCCTGAAAGCGAATAAATTGTGGCCACATGGATGACTCTCACAAACGTAATATCCTGCAAAAGAAGATGATGAGGCAGATCTAAAAATACGTCTTTCAGGGAGAGGCAGGAAACTTTGGATAAAGCAGAGGAGTGATGAACACAAAACACACTACGGTATCCTCAGGGCAGTGGGGAAGGGAATGTGGGAGGGTGGCTTCTTTTGAAAACCAAACTAAGAAGGAAGAGAAAGAGTGAATAACGCTTCTTGGGCTTTTCCTTCTTACTTTGGGTCTCAAATCTGTGGGCCGGCATTATTTCTATGGCTTTTCCAAAGGCTTTTTAAATCTACCTTGAGAAGTCCCAGCCTAAAACAAGTCTAACTCAGCTAAAATTAATTACCCATTATGTTTCTATTAGAATCCATACAACCTATCTATGAGTAGCTACCATTTATTCCATCGTTTTAGTGGGCACTTACTAGGAACCAGGCCCTGGACAAAATATATCACAGGCATTAACTCGTTGAATTACTCTCATTAACAAAGACTCTCATTTCTCAGTCGAGGGAGCTGGTCACACGTGTAGAAGGTGACAGACAGGATTGGGATCAAAAGCTGTTTGTCCACATGCTATACTATTGCCTGTGAGTACAGAAAATAGAACTGTCACTTTTAGGGCCTTGATTTGGGTAAAGCAAATGGCATTTGAAATACCATCCAATGCTGAGGAATGTGGTCATAGCCCTCGTGTGGTGGACAGGACATCTAATGCAGTAGGAAAACCACATTATCTCAAACTTTTATTGAATGAAGTACTGTTTTTTTTTGTTTTTTTTTTTTGTGGTACACGGGCCTCTCATTGCTGTGGCTTCTCCCGTTGCGGAGCACAGGCTCCGGACGCGCAGGCTCAGTGGCCATGGCTTACAGGCCCAGCCGCTCCAAGGCATGTGGGATCCTCCCGGACCGGGGCACGAACCCGCGTCCCCTGCATCGGCAGGCGGCCTCTCAACCACTGCGCCACCAGGGAAGCCCAAGAATAAATTGTTTTCGAATGGGCTGGGCTTTTGTGTTTGGACATATAAAAGCATTTTTTGTAGAGGCTGGTCTACTCTTCCAATATTTTAAGCAATTTACAGGTAGTGATAAATACTTGGTTTAAATCCTTCTAAAGTGTCTGGTAATCATTTTAGCTGTTAAAGCATGATATGAGTTCAGGCATACAGTTATACTAAAATCTTTCCCACTTGCCTACCTCTCACACAGATTATGGAGGGAATGCATTCTAGACAATAAAATCTAAGGGGAAAAATATCGCCATCCTGTTTCAGCACTGCCATTAAAACCAACGGTGGTGGCCATTGTTGTGTAAAGGGAAGAAAACAAGTTTACAGTTCCTCATTTCCCACGGTAAACAGATTGCTCATTTTAATTTTGAAAATAAAGCGATGGAGGCTATGTAGGTCTGTAAATAAGAATGTGCATCTCAATTTTCTGTAAATGCTTAAGTGGTTTACATCTGTTTCCTCCCAGTTGTATTTCTCAAACATGAATTTCCATTTTAAAAAGAGTCGTAAAATCACTACTGTTTCTCTGTGGATCTATTAGCAATAAAATAGCCTACAGAGGTTTGCACAGCCATGGAAAATGTACAGTGATAATAGGCTGTCCTGCTGTTACATGGCTTATGCAAACTTTACATTTATCACGGCAGAACCATCTATCCGCAGGGTTGTAGCACAGCAAACAATGGAATGAAAAAGACCAAGAGAAGGAAGACGAGTCCAAAATCTCTGTGTACACATCATTAATCAGACAAGATGAATTCTCAAACTTGGAAGCATGTTTCCTCAGAGCCAACTGAGAAAAGGAGCAGGAGGGCGGAGGATGTGCTGGGTTGGTCGCAATCTGCAAAGTACAACTTTCCATAAAAATCACCTCCAACAAGCAAAATCACTTGCTTGTCTCATTGACACGTTGTGGGGTTCACTCACACTTTTGTATTTTTTTAAAAGAACCAAGCCAGGTCATTTGTTGAAAACTTTTAGTCCAGCAGAGGATGCAATTATTCTTTCTTTGAGCCTTTCAAGTAAAAGGGCTCAAAATAGACCATTGCTTCCTCACGCACCGGTGGGGCCTCCCTAATCCTCCTCTACTCGCCCTGTCTAGGAAGCAGCTGGGTGACACACAGCGTGTTTATCCAGCCCCTAAAATCCTGCATCGTAAGTCAGACTGAGTGGTCATATTCCTCCAACCCCACTTTGCATCCCAGTGAAATTCTACCATGTACAGGGAAGGTGAGTTTTTTCCATTCTTTTCTTTTTCTTTTTTACTCCTTAAATCCAAATTAATTCGCTAAAAGTCTAGAGTGACGGCAAGGAGCAGGTTTCAAAATAGCCTCCTTCCAAAACAGGCTTCGTGCACAGGGGAGCTGCGCCCAATCCAGGAGGCCCATGTGTTTCCCAGTCTGCTAAGTTGCTCTGTTGCCCTGAAATAGAAAAGACTCAATAAAATATAGCAATGGAATTTAAATTGCTTGGCATATCACAGCCTGTTCTATTTAGTGGGGTATTTTTTTACTTGTTTAAAAGCGTTTTTGTTTTGTTTTATTAGCTCAAAAGAGAGAGAAGTTTGAGAAACAATTCTTCAGCCTTTAAGAGGGAAGATGGAAGAGGTACCTTTCAATTAAATGCTCTGATGAGTGATGATACTCCACCCTGGAAGTTCGACTACTTCAGGAATATACCAAGATAGAGATGAATCTAAGGTAAACAGTTAGTGTGGGAAATACGAGATGAGGGGTGTGGCTTGTACATACAACAGCCCATAATTCCTGCCACTCAGATACCATGGTTTTTATTCAGGGTGAAGCTTATTCTTTTGAGTTAATTCATATCACTCAATTTCTTGGTTGGGGGAGTACTTTTAGATACATGTCCCCAAATCATCAGACCACTTCAAACAATTGGGTGGGAAACAATCCAACTACCACCCTCAACCCACTTGTGGATCAAGCAACAAGTTATTGAGACGCAATCATTTGTAATCTGACAGCATGTGCACATCACCTAAGTGTATCTTTGTGGGAGGGGGAGTGTTTATTTGTATTCTAGATCAAATGTTCTAGCACAGGGAACTATATTCAATATACTGTAATAGTAACCTATAATGGAAAAGAATCTGAAAAAGAATATATATATATATATATATATATATATATATAAAACTGAATCACTTTGCTGTATACCTGAAACTAACACAAATTGTAAATCAACCATGCTTCAATTAAAAAAAAATAGATAGCATGTTCTCTAGTGAGTTGCCCCATGGTCTCTCAGGAAGCAGTGACCTGTCCTCTGACCACTGAAGCTTTCAGGAATCCAAACCCCGGACTCTCCAGTCATTTCTCACCGTGTACGGTTAGTCATATTTCCCTGGATGCTTTGTCTTATGTCCTCTGTCATATGAGTCTTATGTCTCTGTGGCAGCACCATGTTTGATGCTTCTTATAGTAGACTCTCCCGGGCTTAGTAAACTAGTCCCGTCACTGAGTCACCACAGAGGTCATCCCAGCCTTGTGTGGTGCGCTTGAGGTGGAGATGGATAAGTCTCAGTAAAGCTCACCCAGCCCCACATCTGCCCCTGATGCCTTGGAGAAGAACTGAATGCACAGTGTTCAGCTGTGGTTTCCAGAAGAGTCTCAGGACTTCTTGGTGGAGAGACGGACTGAGCACTCATAGGACATATTGGCTGCTCTTTCATAAACAGAAGCCCAGAGTTCATTAGCGATACTGCCACCTCTCAAGAACTACTTTTAGGTTGAATTTAGACTCCCCGCCTCGCCCCCAGTGGAGGTCCTTAGCAATTGTGGGAGGTGTCCATTTGATCTCCTTTGGTGGTTCCACACTGCATGTGGGTTCCCCTTTCTCCTGGGAAATCCTGACTCTCAAAACGATGCTTCAGACTCTGTACTGGTCCTGCAAATCATAGACAACTGGACCAAGGCCTAATAATAGCTGTAGTAATAGTAGTAATAAGAATTGCTACAACTGTGTGGAGCTTTCTATGTGGCAGCTTCCGCAAACCAAGGCCACACAGGCTCATGAGCTTGTCCAAGGCACACAGTTATAAGTGTTGGAGTTGGGATTGAAATCCATGCCTTTGAGCCCCGTGTTGTGCGTCCTTTACAATCCTAGCATCTTCGTGTTGTCTTCCGTTTGCTGGGTGGAAAGAGGTCATTTGTTCTGGCCATAAGAGTGTGCCTGGTGGAGACCCTAAGCATGGGATGCTCCCGGGCCCGGCCCCTCTTTAGTACGTTTCATTACGCCTCCTCCCGCCTCCCCCCTCCACACTTCCCCATTCCTCTGTGCATCTTTTACACAGCAGGGCAGGGTAATTCGCTGCATGCTAGGCAGTAACTACATAGTAATAACAATAATTCTTGCTACTTAGAGCTCCTTATCCAAGGATGTCACCCAAGCTTCAAGAAATTTAAACATATCTGTTCACAGCAGCGTGGTGGGGTGAGGTGGGCCTCATTTTCAGGCCTGGAGAGAGACATTCATGTGTAAAGAAACACCCAGCCTTTCCTAATGAGGGCCTCCCGGCCAGACATGGAACTAAGAAAGAAAGGGGACCTAATAGGGGAAGGGCCAGACAGTCCTGGTCTCTGGTTTCCCTAAAGTCTCTTTGCATTTGAATCTTGTTTTCTATCTCTAAGAACCCTCTGACTTCGAGGCATTGACGAGAAAAGGCTGTTCACTAGCTGAGTCTCTGTGATGAAATTAGCCACCAGTGTCCAGGTATTCTCCCCAGAAACCCTCCCCAAGGGGACTACCGCCTGGCTTTGGTGACTCTTCCCCATAACCATCTACCTTGGATCCCCACTCCCTCTGCCCTTGTGGGCTGGTGCCCTATCCTGACTCCAAGGATGAATTCACATACAGGTTTCCCCTGGCAATATCTCTACTCAAGGCCCCAAGGGCAGCCTGGGCTGGGATGGGGGCTCTTTAGCTAAGGGCCAAAGTCCCTAGAACCTCATTTTCTCCTCCTGCCCTCCAGCTGCCCCTTCCTTGCTAGGGTTGAGCCTCTGGGCTTGCTTCTCACCCACCTGGACCCATAGGATATGCCACTCTCCACTTGTTTGGTCCAACATCTGCACCCCCATAGGACTCACTGGAGGGATGGATGCATTTAGAGGGGGAACATTTAGCGTGGAAGTTAAGTTAATCAGCTAGGGAAATACTCTTGTATTCTTGGATTATGAGTAAGTCACTGCTAAGTCAGTCAGATAGAGAAAGGCAAATATCATGATATCACTTACATGTGGAATCTTAAAAAATGATACAAGTGAGCTTAGTTACAAAACAGAAATAGACTCACAGACATAGAAAACAAATTTATGGTTACCAAAGTGGGGGAGGGATAAATTAGGAGTTTGGGATTAACAGATTCAGACTACTATACATAAAATAGATAAACAACAAAGACCTAATCTATAGCACAGAAATATATTCGATATCTTGTAATAAACTAAAATGGAAAAGAATCTGAAAAATATATAGTTATATATATATATAAAACTGAATTACTTTGCTGTACACCTGAAAGTAACACATTCTAAATCAGCTATACTTCAATTTTTAAAAAAGAGCAACTTACAGCTGATTCTCAGACATGTTGAAGTGAAACACCATCTCACAGCACATAGCATGTGTCTGCTTCCCTAAAGACCACACCAGCACCCTGGCAAAAGAATAACATCGTCCTATGAGGCACCCCTTACATGCAAACCACTGTTCTGGAGGCAGAAAGATCTGTGTGGAAGTAACAGACATTGCTCTTTCTCTCAGGGCGCACATAGTCTTAGAGGGGAGACAGGATATAAACACACACAGATACCAGGACATCTTGATTTTCAAGTATGCTCCAAATCCTCATTCCAAGCAGGTACCACACTCTGAGACCAAAAGGTGGTTTCCACTTCAGACTTGGTCACAGTGAGAAACCCAGAAGAAAGACGAGCGATTTAGTCCAGGTAGATGAGAAGCATTAAAATCGCTGGAGCTTTTCCTTCTGACTCAAAGCAAATACATTTGTCAAATACACCATAAATATACATTTGCACTATTTATTACCTCTGCCTATAAAAGAAAATTGTATTAGGTGATTGGGCTGAAAATGTGTCAAAAATATAATTTGCATCTGTTTTATGTGGGTGTTTTTGTGTGTATTTGCTATATTTCAATTTGCTAATATACATATATATCTCTGTAGAGACATGTATAAATGCTGTTTAGTTCTTCTGATATTTGTTTTTATTTTCTTGGTATAAAAATTTCAATATAATTTGTGATTCTAAAAATATTGCTTTTGAAAAATATGGTGTGGATCCTTCACTCCCTTAATTCCCATAATCCAATACAATAAAACATTTACTAAAAGTATATTAAAGAGAATTTCCTGAAGGATTTGCTTCTCTTTGACAAACTGTTGCTAGAAGATTGTGCACAATGTTTTCTGTGTTTTTCATGGAATTCATCTCTCTTCAGTTAGGAGAATTTCCCCAAGCTTTCCCTTCCCTCCCTAGATGGGAAGACTCATTTTCCCTCTTAGCAACCCTACCAAAGGGAACTGAGATTCCAGCTATTGGACCACATATTTTACTCTGCAAATGTCATGGATTTTGAAAGGAGGTATATTCTTCTGTGTTATTATTATTTACAGCATGTAAAAGCATCTTCATGTTTACAAAAAAGACTTTTGCAATTATGTCTTTTGCCAGTTCCCCTCAATCACTTTAAGAAGCAGGTCAACAGCCTCCTTTGTTAGGGAAAAGGGGATAAAGCCCAAGGGGAGATTATGTCCCTTTAGGGTCACACAGAAAATCATTAAAAAATTATAACCTAGGTATCCCAAGTCTTAAGTGCTCTGCTTTGCCATTAGAAATGTCATGTTAGCTTCTTTTCCTCATCTACAAGCCACATACATATTATTTTTCCTGAACTAGATGACATCTAGGGCAAAGAGAGGCCACTGTCCCTTCTACCCTATTTTGAACTAGATTCAAAGGAAAGTGACCCCTTCTCAGAGTCCTCCTGGGAGAACTGGCCAGAGTTCTCCTGGCTACAGTGTGGCCAGGCAGAGAGGATGCTGTGGCCTGAATGGTGTGTCCACCACCCTCCCCCCACATTCTTGTGTTGAAGCCCTAATGCCCAAGGTGACTGTATTTGGAGAGAGGGCTTTCAGGGGGTAATTAAGATTGAGGTAATAAAGGTGGGGCCCTTATCTGATAGAGTTAGTGACCTTAAAAGAAGAGGAAGAGAGACGGATACCTCTTTCTCATGTGCACACACTGAGGAAAGGTCGTGTGAGGACACATGAAAAGGCAAACCAGGAAAGGAATTCCCACCAGAAACCGACACTGCCAGACCTTGATCTAGGACTTCCAGCCTCCAGGATTTTGAGAAGTAAATTTCTGTTGTTTCAGTCGTCTAGTTTACGGTATTTTGTTATGGCAGCCCCAAAAGACTAAAACCTTAAGGTTTTCCTTTCAAGTCAGTCTTGGAGTCCATGTGGCACAGGCAGGACCTAGAAGCTACTCAGAGTCTGGCTGGCAAAAGCTTGCTAGAGGTGGGTCCCTGGGGATGAGGTGGCACCATAGCAAAGGCTGGATGCTGAGTCAGGGCCAGGGGCTGCTGCAGAGCCCTGCCCAAGCGAAGCTCCAGACTAAGAATTCCACCAGCCGCAGACTTGAGCCACCACAGCCAACAGGGCAAGCAGCTCCCAGGCATCACCTTAGAGACCAGGAGGCCGAGGACCTCATGTCCAAGGCTCTCCAATCTACCCTGCTCAGTGTGACCTCATTGGTCTCCCCACTCCAGCCACACATCAGAACACCCCCAGAGGGGAAGAAGATGGGGGTAGGAAGGTGTCTCTGAGAGATGGAACATTTTTATTAAAAAGAGTCTTGACACCACCTTAAGGGACTGTTAAGTCATCTAGAAATGGAACTGGACAGCTAGTTCATTTTCCCCTCCTGCTTGTAGGGGCTCAGGAGGAAGGCCAGTGTAGTTACAGGCAAATAGAGGTATAATCTGTTCTCTGCCCACACAAGTTGTAATCTAAGTTGAATCTTAGATTTGTTAGATTAGATTTGCCAGAGCAAACTGTGGGCGGTGTGCTTCTTCCCCGGGAGAGGTGGGATTGGTGACTGGGTCAACTACAGCCATATTCTCTGAAAGTAAGCATCTTGGGAGTTTGTGTAAATGATGCCTGCCCCACTCCACCCTTTGTTCTGTCTCCCATGTCTTTTCATATGTAGGCTGTGCTGTGTTATTTACTACAATTGGTGATATTTGCATTAATTCTCATATATTTTTATCTTCCCAACTGCATTATAAACTCCTCTTGAGCAGAGGAGGGTGCCAAGGTCAGAGCTCGCTCTGTTAAATATTTGTCAACTAAGCAGTGGTGTTGCTGCCCTGCATGGTGGGACCTGAGTGTGTCTGCGGATTTTGCAGCGTGTTTCAAAATCCTAGCCGAGGACTCCTGGGCGGGGCCAGCCGTGATGTCAGCTATGCGACCTCTCACATGTCAGCTTCCATTTCAGGACCCCAGACTGCACAACTGTGAAATGAAAAAGTTGATCTAGGAGCCCATGAAGATTCCCTTTGAGGTTTCTCTTGTATGAGAGTGTGAGATCTCTTAGTTCATCTTTTATTATCTTGCCAACGGGCCATCTGGAGAAATGGAGCATAGCTATACTATAGTTATGGACTACTGAGAGCTGTTCTAAGTGCTTTATGTAACAACCTGATGAAGAAGACCTTGTTATTGCCCTCACCATTTTACTGGCAAGAAAACTGAGGCACAGGGTGTAACCTGCCCAAGGAAACAGAGTAGGTGAGGGTTAGAGCTGGCTTGGATGCAGACAGACGGCTCTGGAATCCTGCCTCAGCCCTCACACTGTGCTGCCTCCAGCATCAAGAATTATTAGCCAGTAGGTTGGCTTTGGAAGAGACAGGAACCCATACTTCCTGAGCTTGGAAGCCTCCAGAGTCCCTACAGCCAAGGCCCACTTTCACTCCAAGATGCTCTTTTTTTCCCCCCCAACAGGTTAATTTCTAATTTAGTCATTTCAGAAACATGTACTGACTGCCTGCCATGCGGTAGGCTGTCTTTGTCTTGGGCAGGGATTTGAGGTGCAGGCCATTAACGGGGACGGGTTTGGTAGTGGGGAAGGCTCTCTGCAGAAGGTGAGTTTCCAAGGTATTTCTTAGGGAGAGACTCATTCAAATTCGTCATGTTCATTCCAGAAAACCAAATTCTATCATCTCACCGAATGCTGTGGGATTTTCCATGGGGCTATCAGCTGGGCCCCCAAATGGGCCCTTCTTACCCTGTGATTTATAATCTTCCTAATCTTTAATTGATTTACTTGGCTTTTGTGAGGAGATGGTAGGAGGAAAGTGGGAACTATTTGTCTGATCGATGGATTTGCTTGTAATTCCCTGTGATGAGAAAACTGTGCATTTATTCTTTTGAGCACAGCGACTTTTCACAATAGTCATTCCTCAAATAGCTGATAAGGGCTGAACTAGCGGCAATGTCTTCTGTGGAGGAAACAACAGTAACATGGTTACTTTTCTAAGCAATGCCTTGGGCACCTATGGATGAGGCACCTTGCTCTTGATCCCAAAGAACTTAAGCCGGTTCAGCCACATGACCCTCCCCAGAGGCCCTCTGCTGCCTGCAGATCCAGCGGGGAGGGCAGGCACCCCTGCTTCTCAGACTGAATCCTGACTGCGCTGGGTCCCCCAGGAGGCCAAGGAGCTGCCCAGGTAACTGCAAAGGCGTGTGGACGGCATCAGTGCTGCAGACCCTGCTGAGGTTTCTCTGGTCAGGATGGAGAAAACAGACCCTTTTACCCAGCTGGACCCCACCCTACCCCACAGTCCAGTGGCCACCAGTCCGGTAAATACCCAGGGCTGAGGACGCGCTGGGGCAAGGCACGTACTCTCAGCTACTTCCTATGCCCAGGGCCGAGGGAAGAGGTGGAAGGGACAGACCAAGGGGCAGGGCTGCCATGCTGAGAGCTGGAAGGCGGAGAGCTCAGGTCCTGCGGGTGGACGCAGACCCCAGGAAGAGCCCCCTGGTGTGGGCTGAGTCCACACCCGAAGAGAACTGGCCAGAGCTCCAGGAGTGGCCTCTTCTCAGTCACAGCGACATGTGTTGAGTTGGACAGGAAGGGCCAGGACCACAAAGAGGCCCCAAGTGGGAACTGACGTTTCCTCAGCCCAGTGTGGTCCGGGGAGGTGAGATGGAGGTTGGGGAGCGGGGATGCGGAGCAGGGGAGGTTGGTGCCCACCGGGCCTCTAGCAATAGCCGGCGGGCAGTCCTGACTTGGAGAGAAGGTGGTCTGCTCTCCTCCACGCTCTCTTGGCAGAACATTCATGGGAATGTCAGTCTGGAAGACATCTCTGGACTGCGTAACTTCCTTAATGCTGGCTGTGGTGGAGGCCAGGAGCCAGCCGCCCTCACCCACTCTCTGGAAGGGGACCGTTTTGTCTGCCTGGTGACGTGTCAGCCCTGCGGCCGACCTGTGGCCCTGAAGGAGAGGCTCCAGGGATGCTGCCCTCAGGTGAGAGCGGATGCTCCAGAAAATGTGCCCTCCGTTTGTCTCTAGGAGAAGCAAAAATCCTTCAATCATCTACAAAACGGTGCCTTTTCCTTCTAGAAGATGGCTGCATGTAGAGAGGGCAGAAAAAAAAAAAAAAGGACAAAACACCAAGTGCAGAATAATGTCACAGTAAGCTGGGCTCCCTCTCCATTTTTCACATTGTTTCCTATTTGCAATAGCTACTGGGTGCCAGAGAGGAGAGGAACAACTTTAAAAAACAATTAGCAGGACATGTGGTGTTCATTCTTGGCTGGCACTCTGCAGGCCTCATCTTCCGGCAAATACTCCGTCTCTCATGAAAAATGTTTTAGAGCTAATGATCTATATTCGCATTCCCCGTAGAATGGATTCAGAATTTTTCATCTACGCCGCACCATGAAAAATGGATGTGTTTGGCACAGAAGTCATTTGAACATAAAGCCCGGCCTCAGTGGAAAGACAACCTTCAGAACAACTTTTCAAGTAACTTAGTTCATTCGTACTTGCTTCCACCCGGGAAGGTCAGGTTCGTGTGAAAGATGGAAATTTCTCGCACAAACCTGGATGCTGATGAGATTTGTTTTTGCAGATAATCTGCAGCAGTGAAATTTTTCATAATGTCACTGCAAAATAAATTAAAATGTTCATCTTCATATGGCTGGTTCCATTGCATTAAAATAAATGTTGCAAGCTCATTTAATTAGTATAGTTAGGAATGTCTCTTCCCTGCTTCACTGACTCTCCAAATCACAAGTTAATTTGTCAAAATCAGACCATTGTTTTTCCTTCATTCTTCATTACTAGAGACAGCCCCATTTAAATAAATGTTTATGCTACAGAGAGCAGAGCAGTGAACAACCCCAAATATTTTCACAAGCTAGTGTTGGAAAAGTTTAAAACACAGGGAGTGAGGATGCATTTTTTTCCCTCCCTTTGCGGTTATTGGATATTTGACTGGCTGAAAAGGTACAAAATTGAGCAGTCTGCTGTAACCGATGATGCTGCATCCGCCGTTGCTCATGTCGGCGGGCTACATCCCGCCGCAGTTTTCTTCTCTGTTTTCAAAGACAAATGATGACAAAAGATACCATCTCTATCAATTACCCTTATCAGATCGTTCTCTTCAAGAAGCCTTGGTTAATCAATTAGATGGTGTTTTTTGGGCGTGGAGGTCTGAACTAGGTGGGGAAGAGGGGGTTCTGGTTTTTATAGCCGTTTGCTCACCATTCCTAGCTGCGAGTAGCCACTCTTCCTGCTGAAAATTCAAGGGATAACCAAATTCCAGGGTTTCCTTCTTTCCTCTCTCACTTCCCAACCCTCCCAAACCTCCAAGAAAATATTAGAAGTACCAATGACCATTGATAAAGCATGAGTTCCTGGCTCATAGAAGTATGTTGGGGTTAATGATGAAGACCAGGGAAAAGGGGTTCACATAATTAGCTGAGGTGTTACATCTGTGGAGGTCTTCTGGAAGGCATCCATCAGTAATGGATGAAAGCACTTATCAGATCATTATCAGTGCCCCATACTAATGAGACATCGCATTCCTGCACCCTAGAGGCTTCTCCACGAGAAAATGCCGCAGCGCTCAGCTCCAGATTCAGCCTCAACGGGGGGAAGGCCAACTTTCCTCCCCGAAGCTTTGTCTTTCACCAGCATGGAGTGACCCGACCTCCTTCCTCCGTAAAGAAGCCAAAAGATAGGTTAGCCTTTTTCTTCTTACTGGGTAGGGTTTTCTTGTCCTGTGACCCATTTTCCTACGCTGCTCTTGCTTTGCACGGCTTTTCTCCCCTGGGGCAGAGGAGTTCAAGGAAATGGATGTGGTTCTTCAGATTTCTCGGTAGGTGGTGGGTTGAAAAGGCTTTCAAAGTTGTCCTCAGTATGGTTCTGATGAAGTCTAATCTGAAGAATGAAACTTTCATTTTTTTCTTTTCTTTTTTTCTCTTTTATTTTTTGGTACAATTCCTCAGGACCAACATTGCTTCATTAGTAAATTATTTAATGAACAAGAAGATTTAATTACTATGTATTATACAAATGTGCCTGTTTGACTTTCAAAAATCAGACTCAGGCAGGCAGGAAGCAGCAGCATCCCTGGCTTCCCTCCTTGACAGCTGGGAGTTGCCTGAAAGTAGTAGCTGAGCAGGGCACTGCGCCTGCATTCATTCATTCACTCTTTCATCTCATAAACCTCTGTTGGTGGCCCTGGACTAGGCACTGGGTGTGCAGAGCCAATCTCCTTTTCTTACATGAAAGAAGTGGAGCCTTCTGACTAGACCAGGGCCAATATTCCTGTCGCCTACTATTCAACCCCTGAACCAGGCCACCTTATCTACAATGGTCCAATTTTACTGGAAACAGCATTTGTGCCTCTGGTTGGCCATGGAGCAGCCTTTGGGAAACTGGAAATCAAGCCATGCACATAAAAGACAAGTAAATTGAACGAAGGGTAAGTCAAGCACTGGGCCTGGGTAGCAGCCTAACATACATGCATGACTGTCACTTGGAGTCCCTTCGCCTTGGGTCAGCTCCTTCTACAATGTGTTTCTTGGCCAGTATGAGAAAGACTGATATGTACTTTTGACACTGAGAAGACCTGAGCAGAGGAATCCTGATGTGGAAGAGCCAACTAGAGAGCTAGAGGAATGTTTTCTTAGTAAAAACTATGCTGCCACACGATTTTGGTCTGGTTCTCTGTCCCCAGACCAAAAGCCAGGCTGCAATTACGGAGCCAGATACACACCACCTACGACAAACAGAGCAGGCTGATTTCAGACAAACTAGCTAAGCTCTGCGAGCCTTCTGCCACTGCGAGAGGGAGACCTCAGTTCAAATCCCAGACTCCACTTACCAGCTGTGACCTGGGGCAAATGAAACCTTCTGAGAGACCTTTTCTCACACACAGAGTGGTCATAATAATTATATCTTTTGCATGGTGTCTGTGGAAATTAAATGAGGCACTATGTGTGAACATGAGCTGGTGCCTGTCAAGTGTTTGACAAATGTTAATTCTCTTCTGGGGGCTTTTAGAAGGAATAAGGTAGCAAAGGATGAGGGCAGGCTGATGCATCAGAATGAGTGTGGGGTAAACTTTTAAGAAAAATTAATTTTTTGATGGAATTGATTTTTAATGAACTTTAGCTGCTGAACAATTCTTGAACTGAACACTAAGACTGAATATGTCTCTGGTTTATGCAGGTTACACAATTCATAGCTTATTTCTGGAATGAAGTTAGTGATCATGTGGTCAAAACCCATTCACAACTTGCAAAAAGATCAGATGCCTGCCCAGACCATTCACTCGTTAGTAGCTCTGCTCTGTCCTAACTCTCACCCCTCTTCAGAAAACCAGAGACCGCCTCTGACTAAGGATGCCCAGACCCTCCAACCGTTCCTCCTATGACAACGAGGTTTCCTGATCACTTATTATCCTTTTCACCTTTTTTTAACCCTCCCTAGTTTTATCATGTTCCTTTTTAAATGTGATGATCAAAAGCAAATAAAATACACCAGATGCTTCTGACTATGGCAGAAAAAAGAACAGAAACCTCTTTTGCTCTGGACGACTCTATGATGAAAGTAGTCTGTTGGCAGCCGTGCCACATTGCCCTTACAGTCAACTGAAACCCCTAGGACTTTTTTTTTTTTGCGGTACGCGGGCCTCTCACTGTTGTGGCCTCTCCCGTTGCGGAGCACAGGCTCCGGACGCGCAGGCTCAGCGGTCATGGCTCACGGGCCCAGCCGCTCCGCGGCATGTGGGATCTTCCCAGACCGGGGCACGAACCCGTGTCCCCTGCATCGGCAGGCGGACTCTCAACCACTGCGCCACCAGGGAAGCCCCTTAGCTTTATTTTTTAAATGTCATGAGTATAAAAAGAATATCCATTTACATAAAGTTCAAAATTACCTGTGGTGTTAGAAGTCAGGATAGTGGTTGGCATTGGAGAGAAGGATGGGATATTGATCAGGAGACCCCCAGGGGGATATGGGGGACTGGTCCTTTGTGGTTTTTGATTTTATGGTGATCACACAGGTGTACTCACTTTGTAGGCATTCATCAAACCATACAGGTGTGAATTGTGCACTCCTCTATATGTGAATAGTAAACAGAAACCAATTTGCAATGATCAGAAAGCCCTTTATAAAAGTCTCTTCTTTTCTTTTCTCCCTGAGCACAGAGAACAGAAGAGCATATAATTTAATTCATTCATCAAACTGGTTTTGTGAGAAGCTTTTAGGTACAAAGCATTGTACTCTGTAGAGTACAGGGCTTTAGGGCTCTGGAGACAAAGATGAAGCAGACACAGCCCCTGCCCACAAAGAACTTACAGATCAGTGAAGGATGAACATGTATCAGATATCACTGTATACCAGGGGAAAATGTCCTGGGGTACTAAGAGGGGTCAGGCAGCTGGTTTTCATGAAAAGCCATTTGAATAGCATTTCATACATTCAAGAATCATACGTAATCTTCGTGAATTTATAGTTAGTGAATGACGTTGTTTTACTACTCATACAATGAAGAGCTTCTTAGATTCTATTTTTGTCTCATTTTGTGACAAGATCATGAAGAAATTTATACATACATAATCAATAAGAGATATGTGATTGTTGTTACTGAAGATATTAAAATAATATATACTTTATAACATTTTTTCAAAGATCTAACTTTAAAGTATTTCCAACAGGGGAATGCCTGGGGAATTCATTATAAGGCAACTTTTGAACATATAGATGAAATTTTTAAATGAAAATCAATCCAAAAGCTAAGCAGGTAAGCAAACTGTGGTATATCCATACAACTGGATGTTATTCAGCCACAAAAAGGAATGAAGTAGTAATACATGCTACAACGTGGATGAACCTTGGAAACATTGTGCTAAAGGTAAGAAGATACAAAAGAGCACATCTTGTATAATTCCATTTATATTAAATATGAAGAATAGGCAAATTCATAGAGATGGAATGTAGATTAGTGGTCTCCAGGGGCTGGGGGAAGGGAGGCATGGTGAGTGACCACTTATAGGTACAGTGTATGTTTGGGGGTCGTGTTTCGGGTGATGAAAATGTTCTGGAATTAGAGAGTGGTAATGGTTGCTTGACCTTATGAATACTAAAACCCACTGAATCGTACACTTTAAAATGGTGAATCTCATGCAAATTATATCTCAATAAAATATATAGAAGGCAATTTTCAAACATACAGATTGAAATTCTGAAATCATAAAATTTTTTTCACTGAGAAATTCTCAGTACCATTTTATGATACATCTAATGAATGAGTACCAAAAACCATACACGTGAAGATGAAAAGTTATAAAGATCAAAATGGGGGAATGGGCTTCCATTTTTGTGAGAATTAAATCAGGACCTAAAGCAAACCTTTCACACAGGGCTTCGGAGGGATCAGGACATGACCACTTGTGTCTCTACTTCTAATTCCAAAACAGAATCATTCAGGCCTGGGTTACCCACATCACTGGATATTTTATGAACTCCTGTTTTTCTTAACCTGCTTGACAACAAAAACGCTTTTGCTTACCTCTCTGATAAGCAGCCCTTTCTCTGATCCCTGTTGATAGAAATTAGACAGTAATCTGTTCAAATCAGCGTTTACAGGCAAGATGAGTTTTCCAGAAGAGAGAAGGAAAGGACTCAAAGCGGCCAATCAAAGGGCTCTGTGGAGGAAACCCAGGTAGAACCCCAGTAATAAATACATTTATTGCCTGGACAGTAAAAAGTACTGGAGAGTTTAAAATAAATTCTGAGTTATTTAAACTTAATTTATGACCAGGAAAATAAACCCTCTCTTCCACCATTAATGTTTTTTATCTGGGCCATCAAATGTCACACGCTACTGATTTTGGTTGTAAGGTCACTGGAAACAGCATATCAGAGGTGTCAGCACCACAAATCAAGTGAAATTCCTTTAAAAATAAAAATGTCAAGAGTAAAGTAATAGGCAATAGTTACTTCGTGCTATGAAAGACTTCTAATATATCAAAAGGTTCACCTTTTTCTACCTTAATGGTGTATCACTTTGAGCACTAAATATACTTCTGCTTAACAGATAAAGTAAAGAAAACAGGCATCAGGATGCCGATGATAATAAGAATGATGACATATAATAAAACTATTTGCAGGCACAGAAACATTAGAAGGCAGAAGCCTGGATATATCAAAAGACAAACAATGACCCTGAATATAGGGAGATCTGCTCTCTAGCATGTCAGTTATTTTAAGTTTAAAGGTCAACTAAAACAGTGTCTTTGAAATCAGAATACAAATTATATTGGGTTTGGGTAAGAAAAAAATGAACATCTTAGAGCTAATGTGATTCTACACAGAGGTCTAAACCCTGAAGCAATCCTCTGGTCTTTTACCTAAGGACTGAATAAAACAGAAGCAAGTGCCCATGTGCTGGGAGGAGATGAAAGGTAAAGGAGACTTGGAGCAGACGGATTCTTCACGATCCTGATGTTAAACAACTGACAGGCAGTGGCATTTGCCATACTGTGTCGTTGCTAAATGCGTGAACTCCTGGCAGGGTAAATTCAGCCAGGATTATTCTTTATGCCAAAGCATCTGACTGAAAGGGTTATCAAAGCCCCAGATAACAAGAAATGACTTTGTTTCATCCTTGTGACATATCTTACAGCGATTTTCTAGGACGTTAAAGGTAAAACCTTGCTTCCTGATTCAAAGACTCATAATCCAGTGGATGAAACGGCTCCAGGGAAGGATAAAGGAGGATGGAGCCATTCACACAGAAGCACAAATTTCCCCCAAGATGGTAGTGAACAGTTAGAGAAAAGCCATAATTCTCTAGTTTAAGCCTCCCAAAGTTCTTTTATCATTGGGAGTAGTGGGGAGGGGAAGAGGAGGTCATGTTTGCCCATCAGCAGGTACCATGGGGTGGGAGATGGGCCAGTGTCATCACTGGAGTCCCAGTACAGGTGCTCTGCATTTCAGAAAAGTCAAGTGTGGCTGACTCCAGAATGGAGTATCCCTCTTGGCTCTGGTGGCTATAGAATTTTAGTGATGAAATTGAACGCCAAAGACTTGAACTTCTATCTCCTTTCATGTGACAGATGAGGATACTGAGGCTCAACTCCAAGAGGGAAATGCTTGAGGACACAGCCAAGATGAGAGCCTCCACTGTGGCCCCTGGCTCCGGCCAGGCCACTGATGTGACTGTCACACACAAGCCCCACTTGTGTGAAGCAGCTGTTCCAACTGGGAGGCAGGCTCCCTGGAATGATCTCCAGTCCTTGATTTGATGTGTATGTGATGATAGTAAGTCACTGAATTCTCTGTATCTCAGTTTCCCCATGAAGCAATTTGATATTTGTACACATCGACTTTTCAGAATACCTCTATTAGGCTTGGGTATCTTAGGAGAAGACTCCATAAGAACATCCCCATACAGTCTAGCAGGTAAGAGACCAGATTGTGTAGACTGAAGCTTGGCTCTGCCATGGGCTAGCAGTAGAACATTGTACAAGATGCTAAACCTCTCTAACTCCTGGTTTCCTTATCCATAAATCGGGGATAGTAATAACTGTACTTACCTGGCGTGGTGTTGTGGTGATGCAATAGAAAGCTCTCAGGACCACAAAGTGTGCATTTATACAACAGAGAACGAGAAGTCCCTGGAAGCAGGGAACTGGAGGTCTCAGGTGTCCTGGCCCACTGTTGTCCTGCCACCCAGCCCATCAGCTTTCACCTGAGACACCAACCTGATTTGAATATGAGTATGCGACTGAAGGGCATGATTTAGGCATGTGCAAACCCCATAACAGCCCAGGGCTTCCATACCTCAGGCTGTCTTCTCTTGGGCAATCTGCTCAAATGACAGATGATTCCTCTGGTCAAGATGGGGTTCGATTCAGAGCCACATAGTGAGAGACGAGAGCCTCAATGCCAGTCAGCACCCTATTTATTTGTGGTTTTGTCTTATTAAAGACAAATGATGCTGAGGCAGTTCTATGGGCGTCGAATGAATTATTTGTATATCTGATTGAATTGGAGGACTCAACCCTGTTTAACTCTTTGAGTTTTCAGCCTGGGGTATAGGAATTCTATTCAGCACCCTCTAATCACTTTCTGAATTTTACTTTGGGGTATCACCTTGAAAACTCATGGGCTACGTGGCAAAAAGATGTCTGTACTCAAGGCTTTATAAAGAAAAAATATCGAAAACAAACTTGGGTTTGAGAAAACCACCAGTTTCTACAAGACGTTTATTGGGGAATCATGTTCTTGAACCTTTAGACCTTTGAAAGTCTAGAGGTAAAAATATTTAAAATCAAATGTAATGATATGGCACTTTTATTAATTTTCCCTAATTTTAAGGGGCGCTTTCCTCTTCCTTCAGGCATTCAAGTTCACTCAAAAGTAATTGCTGGGACTTCCCTGGTGGCGCAGTGGTTAAGAATCCTCCTGTCAATGCAGGGTACATGGGTTTGAGCCCTGGTCCAGGAAGATCCCACATGCAGAGGAGCAACTAAGCCTGTGCCCCACAACTACTGAGCCTGTGCTCTAGAGCCCGCAAGCCACACCTACTGAAGCCCGGGCACCTATACCCCATGCTCCACAACAAGAAAAGCCACCTCAATGAGAAGCCTGCACACCACAATGAAGAGTACCCCTGGCTCGCCACAACTAGAGAAAGCCCGTGTTTAGCAACAAAGACCCAACACACACAAAAAGGTAATTGCTAACCCTGCCTCATTCTATTACTTGTAAGTTCAATATAATTAGAGACATATTCAGTTCATTACTAGCTTGAATTTTTGCCCAGCTTTTTTTCAGCCTGTTGTCTTTTCAAAACACTTTATTAAAAACGTGTTTTACCCCCGTAGGTAGGTTTATACCTAGGTATAGGTATTTTATTCTTTTTGTTGCAATGGTGAATGGGGTTGTTTCCTTAATTTCTCTTTCTGATCTTTTGTTGTTAGTGTATAGGAATGCAAGAGATTTCTGTGCATTAATTTTGTATCCTGCAACTTTACCAAATTCATTGATTAGCTCTAGCAGTTTTCTGGTGGCATCTTTAGGATTATCTATGTATAGTATCATGTCATCTGCAAACAGTGACAGACCTGTACTCAGAAAACTATAAGACACTGATGAAAGAAATTAAAGACGATACAAACAGATGGAGAGATATACCATTTTCTTGGATTGGAAGAATCAATATTGTGAAAATGACTATACTACCCAAAGCAATCTACAGATTCAATGCAATCCCTATCAACTTACCAATGGCATTTTTTACAGAACTAGAAAAAAAAAATCTTAAAATGTGTGTGGAGACACAGAAGACCCCGAATAGCCAAAGAAATCTTAAGGGAAAAAAATGGAGCTGGATGAATCAGACTCCCTGACTTCAGACTATACTACAAAGATACAGTAATCAAGACAATATGGTACTGGTACAAAAACAGAAATATAGATCAATGGAACAGGATAGAAAGCCCAGAGATAAACCCACGCACAAGGGTCAACTAACCTATGACAAAGGAGGCAAGGATATACAATGGAGAAAAAGCAGTCTGTCAATAAGTGGTGCTGGGAAAACTGGACAGCCACATGTAAAAGAATGAAATTAGAACACTCGCTAACACCATACACAAAAATAAACTCAAAATGGATTACAGACCTAAATGTAAGACCGGGCACTATAAAACTCTTAGAGGAAAATATAGGAAGAGTAACACTCTTTGATGTAAATCACAGCAAGATCTTTTTTGACCCACCTCTTAGAGTAATGGAAATAAAAACAAAAATAAACAAATGGGACCTAATGAAACTTAAAAGCTTTTGCACAGCAAAGGAAACTATAAACAAGGCAAAAAGACAACCCTCAGAATGGGAGAAAATATTTGCAAATGAATCAATGGACAAAGGATTAATCTCCAAAATCTATAAACAGCTCATGCAGCTCAATATTAAAAAAAATAACCCAATCAAAAAATGGGCAGAAGACCTAAATAGACATTTCTCCAAAGAAGACATACAGATGGCCAAGAAGCACATGAAAAGCTGCTCAACATCACTAATTATTAGAGAAATGCAAATCAAAACTACAATGAGGTATCACCTCACACCAGTTAGAATGGGCATCATCGGAAAATCTACAAACAACAAAATATGGAGAGGGTGTGGAGAAAAGGGAACCCTCTTGCACTGTTGGTGGGAATGTAAATTGATACAGCCACTATGGAGAACAGTATGGAGGTTCCTTAAAAAATGAAAAATAGAATTACCATATGGCCCAACAATCCCACTACTGGACATATACCCAGAGAAAACCATAACTCAAAAAGACACAGGCACCCCAATGTTCATTGCAGCACTATTTACAATAGCCAGGTCATGGAAGCCACCTAAATGTCCATCAACAGATGAATAGATAAAGAAGATGTGGTACATATGTACAATGGAATATTACTCAGCCATAAAAAGGAACGAAATTGGGTCATATACAGAGATGTGGACGGACCTAGAGACTGTCATACAGAGTGAAATAAGTCAGAAAGAGAAAATCAAATATCGTATATTAACTCATATATGTGGAATCTAGAAAAATGGTACAGATAAACTGGTTTGCAAGGCAAAAATAGAGACGGATGTAGAGAACAAACGTATGGACACCAAGGGGGGAAAGCTGGGAGGGGCTGGTGGTAGTGGTGTGATGAATTGGGGGATTGGGATTGAAATATATACACTGATGTGTACAAAATAGGTAACTAATAAGAACCTGCTGTGTAAAAAAATAAAATAAGATAAAATTCAAAGAAAGAAAGAAAGAAAGAGCCAGGAATACATACGGCCAGTCTGCAGACCCCAAATTGCTATGGAAATCTACAGCTGTGAAGAACAGAGAGAAATGGATAAACAAAAAACTTGTTTTAGTATCACATTCTTTAAAGGAAAATAATAACTCCCAAGTACATTTTATAGGAATTGCTCAAAATACAGGACCCAATGCCAGAAACTAATAAACTCAAATCACAGAACTCACGTCAGAAGGCTGCCATAAACTGTTTTAGAGCAGTTTGGATATATTTGACCTGAAAATTGAAATGCGTGTGCTCTAATACATAGTTTCACTGGAGAAACTGTCACCAGGTATCGCTATTTAAAAATCCTGTTCTTATTTCATTCACTGGATTTCAATTTAGCCCCTAAATATCCTTTTTCCTACAAAGAACTCCAAACGCTTTCCCATGGCATTACCCCAAAGCGTCAGCCTGGCGGGCTGGCGTTGTCCTGTTTTATAGCACAAGATGCTTGGATGGGCAGTGGTTTTCAGGTCAGACCCTTGAGATGAAGAGTTTTGACCTTGTTGCTTCAAGGTGCTGCTGTCATCCTGGGGAGAGGGCATTTCAGGGGAGAATGCCCTGGTGAGGGGCTGATCCCACACTGACACCTGAAACTCAGAGGTGGGTCATCAAGCTTCATGGCCCGTGTGTTAAATGGCCTGCAAAGTTGAAAGCTTGAGCAAATGAGCCCGTGGGTACACATGGAGCACAGGGCTGGTGATTTTCTAGGTTAGCTCCTCAGAGAGCACTGGGGCAAAGCAGGCAGCTCGTCCTGGATCCAAGAACCAGGAGAGAGAGCCTGGCCTTGCAGGACTAATGGAAAAAAAAAAAAAAAAAAAAAGAGTTGCTCCAAGCCACCTGGTTACCTGGCAAGCTGAGTGCCTGCCAGGTGGAAAAGCACAGTTGACATCACAGTCTAGACAGGATCATTCCTGGAGACTCATTTCTTAAATCTGCTGTTATTTCAAATGGTAAATTCTGGAGGGGAGTGCTTTGAATAGCTTATTTTTTTAAAATTAATGAATCAAAGCATGAAAATATACTGATCTGGAAATGTGGAATCTGGGAGGTGTTTCTGATTGACGTCACCCCATGTCTGGTCCACAGAAGGTGGATTTGGGGCTCTCAGCACATCGGCTTCCAAGGTCCATAGCATTTAAGCACTGAGGTATAATAGTGACTCTCCAGTCCGCAGGTAGAAAAATTAAGACTGATATGTATGGTTGAACAATTTCTTAATTTCTAGTTAAGATAGCTGGCCATTATCTTAATTTCCAATGAAATACAGAAATGTGAGCCACACAGACTTGTTTTCCATTCTGAGGTCTGAGGCCTTTACTTGGCTAGGAAGGGAAGTGTCCATCAAGAAGAAATAGCATTTCCTCATTCTTCTTCTGAATTCCATCAGTGAAAGATACGGGATCTAGTACCCAGTGAAATATTCTGACCTGAGCAATGCATTTTATTTTTGATAATAAATGAAAATTCTAATTCAACTTCTACTCAATTTTGGGGATCTCTGATCTCATGAACATGCAAATAATCAAAAGTAGACTGTAGCTGTTACTTATTCTACATGAACAGAATCATTAGGTATGAATAAGAAGAACTGATAACTTGAGTATATTTCCACTTCTACAAACCAATTTGGGTTAATTTGCAAAATTAGTAGAAGAAACAGTCAAGTTGTTTAAAAAAAACAATAATGACTCAGTTTGACTTATTTTTTAAAAAAATGATTTGGTTTACATTAGTGCCAAAAAAATAATGAAGTACTTAGTTATAAATCTAACAAAGTATGTATAAGACCTACCTATATGAAGAAAACTACAAAACTCTGATGAAAGAAATCAAAGAAGTTCTAAATAAATGGAGAAATATTCCATGTTTATAGGTAGGAAGACTCAATATTGTCAAGGTATCCCAGATTGGTCTATAGATTAAACTCAATTCCAGTCAAAATCTCAACAAGTTACTTTGTGGATATCAACAACTGATTCTAAAGTTTATGTGGAGAGGCAAAAGACCCAGAATAGCCAACACAATACTGAAGACGAACAAAGCTGGAGGACTAACACTCCCTGACTCCAATATTTACCATAAAACTACAATAATCAGGAGAGAATGGTGTTAGTGAAAGAATAGACAAATGGATCAATGGAACAGAGTACACAAAAATAGTCAATTCATCTTCGACAAAAGAGTAAAGACAGGGCTTCCCTGGTGGCGCAGTTGTTAAGAATCCGCCTGCCAATGCAGGAGACACGGGTTCAAGCCCTGGTCCAGGAAGATCCCACGGGCCACAGAGCAACTAAGCCCGTGCACCACAACTACTGAGCCTGCGCTCTAGAGCCTGTGAGCCACAACTACTGAGCCTGTGCACCACAACTACCGAAGCCCACGCACCTAGAGCCCGTGCTCCGCAACAGGAGAAGCCACCGCAATGACAGTCCTGTGCACCGCAACGAAGAGTAGCCCCCGCTCGCCGCAACTAGAGAAAGCCGCACAGCAACAAAGACCCAAAGCAGCCAAAAATAAATAAATAAAATTTTTTTTTTTTTTAAGTAAAGACAATTCTAACTCTGGGAGTTAAAAAAAAGAAACCTGGGTCCATCATTATGTCGAGTTCCTCACATAGGCTGGCAAATTGAAGGTACTTATTAAATACTTGTTGAATGAACAAATGAATAAATGATCTGTTCCCAGCACTGGGTAAATTGGGGTATTTTTTCCCATGTACAAAATGGGAATGTAATGCCAGTCTCTCAGGGTTGTGACGAGAACTCTATGGGGAAAGTATATAAGTATATCCAGAAAATCTATAACACCCAGCACTCAAAAAAGTCTACTTGGGGGGAAGATGCTTCAGGGTGGAAGAAGGCC